ATCATAAGGAACTTGTCACCCCTGACCCAAGGTACTCATGATATCACAATATCATTATCAAAAGGTTTAACATTAGCATAAAATTCTCTGATGATATCAAGATTAATTTCTTCAAGCGGGTCTGCCACTACATTCCATCCTCAATTATGAAGTTCTTATACCAAAGTTGAAAATTCTCTCAGATTTTCCAATTGCACCTTTCTTCCAACAATTAATTGTCTATTACTTAGCTAGTTGTGAACTTCCTTATGATCAAGCTCTTGTATATGTTACGATCATACGATACTTGCGACAATTCAATGCATGACCTCCTTTTTCTCTTGATGATATATTTTTTCATAGTCGTTTGCGAAATTGATTGAACAAAATATATTTTGGAAATTTGTGTTAGACATTTCAATAAATTTAAGCAACATTCTTCCATTACATGTTAATTTTATCTGTTTCGATGCTTTCTCGCTAGATGAGGCTTCAAGCCCGCTTAGTGCAACAAACTGTTCCAAAATGGTATTTTTGATGAGTTTAGCATGAAACAATGGTGTAATTATACATGCATGTTGCGTTTTTCAACTTAATATGAAATTTATCAACATGCATTGAGGGTTTCCATTAAATACATGAAAATGACAAGAGCATACATTTACACCTCCAATTATATGAAAAAAGAGTGAGTAAACTGACATACCTGTATTTTTTTTTGTTGGAGTGTTGTAAGAGAGAATGAATATGATGTTTTAAATGTGTGCGAATTGATTATTTAAGTTCCTTCTTTCTCAAAACTTTTTTGCTTTTGTTTGCTTCTATCATTTCCAAAGTTTGACCATGCAAATAATGCATAATTTTATTTTAAATAGTATGTCAGATGGCATAATTCCATCGGGTACTGTTCTTTTTTTAATTTCTCTCTAGGCGAGCTTAACTAGGTGGGTGAGAAATTGTGTATTTCTCTTGCATTTTTTCACTAAACATTTTGTTTAAACTGTGACTTTTGAAAGAAATACAAAATACAAAATATAAAATTTGTCTGGGTTGTCTCATAGCAAGTGCTTGTTTAACATCAGTAGCTTGACGATTATCAATTTTACATAACACATATTTCTTTAAAACGTACCTCAAGGTCTTTGATTTTAACCTTCGCTTGACCTTTATCAATGTCCACCAACATCTTTGTTGTCTTTATGAATGGTCTTCCTAGGATGATATGTATCTTTGGGTATTCCTATGTATCTAGTACCATGAAATTGATAGGAAAAAAGAACTTGTCATTTTGGTCAATATATCATTAATAGTTCCCGTTGGTTTCTTTCAAGTTTTGTTTTCCATATGCAGTGTTGTTGTAGTTGGCTCTATTTTAAGTTTCATAAATTGTTTTACCATTAATAATGATATTGTGTTCACACTTGCACCCAAGTTAATGAGTGCATTTCTTACTTTCATATCACCTATTGAGACAAGTAATATGAGTACACAAAAGTCTTTTTTCAAATTAGAGGAAGGATGTTTCTTAGATTCTAGTGGTGTGTGAGTTTCCCGATGTATTTTTGGGGGACGTCACTTCCTTACCTCATGAAAGGGAAGTGGATGTATCCATAGAACTAGCCCTTTGAACAACACCAGTCTCAATTGAACCTTACCAGATGTCTCCAGTAGAATCGCGGGAACTCAAGATGCAATTAGAAGAGTTGTTGGATAAATACGTCATTCGGCCTAGTGTGTCTACTTGGGGTGCTTGTGTTCTGTTAGTGAAGAAAACAAATGGTGGTATGCAGTTGTGTATTCATTACCACCAACTCAAAAAGGCCACTATTAAGAACAAGTATCCCTTATCTCAGATTAATGACCTCCTAGATCAATTGAAAGGGTCCAGAGTGTTCTCGAAGATTGATCTATGAACAAGGTAACATTAAATTCGGATCAAAAGTTCAGATACCCCGAAGATCGCCTTCCGCACCTGATATGGGCATTATAAGTTTTTTTGTGATATCGTTTGGGGTGACTATTGATCCATCCATTTTCATTGACTACATGAACCAGGTATGCTAAATCTATTTAGATTAGATTTTCGTGATCTTTATAGATGACATATTGATTTATTCGCGTACACCTCAAGAGCATGTGATGTAGTGCCACATGATAAGATATGAAATTTTAAGATATGAAATTAGTTGACTTTTCAAAATGCAAATGATGCATATGTTCTGATGAATGAAATGAGCAAGTGACAAATTAAAATATAACAGTATCCCATTGAAGCACTGAGTTTAAGTTAAAGTACATGGCCCTATTTGGCCTTCCAACTAAGATAACTTGGACCAAGTCACTCCTAAGTTTGTTAAAGCTTCCACAACTCAAAAAGGTCATTGTTATGGCGTGACGACCTAACTGATCAATGATACATGCAAAATATCTTATACCATTTATGAGTCAAACAACTTAAATAACAATAAAATTCATACTCTCTCTATTATTTTTTAGAGAAATCTTTTAAAGTACCATCGAAGTAAATTAAATACTATTTAAAAGATTAAAAAAATATTTTCATTTTAAAAATATGTGTTTTCAATACATTGAAAACAAAAATAATTAACTTTAAAAAAAATATTATATCTATTCAATACATTAAAATATGAGTCTAAATATAGTGCACTGACCATTTTACATATGCAATTAATTAAAATATCTATAATTATCATACAATATTAATATTTTTAAAATAAAAATATATTTTATTCTAATAAATAATTGATTATCAGTATAAAATATTGTACAATAATATTTTTTATAGGGCACTAATTCGGATGACCGTATTTCTTATAAGCAAAATTTAACTTTTAATTGAAGCTAAAAGAGCGGCAAACACAGCCCCTTTCATTTCTCCTCTCAATCCTTTCCCTCAAACCTGCCGTGGACACCTCAATCCTTCTCTCATACGTAACCCTCACTCTGAACCCCCACCATTCTTCGCTCTCCCTACGACGTCCCACCACTCTTCTCTGTGTCGCACGTTCTCTCGTACTCACCATCAATTCCGCCAAGTACCTTAAGCACCGTCGAGTCTACTGTTCGTAAGATTCGTCGACACTGTAAACCCTAATTCCGAAATTCTCCTCCTCATTTTCTCTGTTTTTCGCCATTACACATACATCTGACACAATTCATCTCTACACTGTCAATTGCAGGTGGTTCACATATGTTGCTTCCTTTTTCTCCCTCGCAAGTTATGCTCTGATTGCAGCAAATCAATGGAGAATCAATCAGGTAAGATTCATTCACAGTCATTCGATAAAATCGTTCTTTCCTTCTCTTTCTACCTTTCAATGCTTTAACTATTATCTCATGTGCTCCCTTTCTTTTAAACTATTTGTCTCATATTTTAGCAAATTTCTTGATTGCGAATAGGTTTATGTGTTCATTAGAATGTTCTTTTTCCCTAATGCTTATTAGCATTTAATATTTGTTTGTTATCTTTGTTGATCTCAGTGATTATATTGGAAATAAGAATTCATTGATTTCTTTTACAATGTCTATTTGGTCATAGGCTGACATAAAAATATTTTAGTACTTCTATATTTTAGTGCACAGATGTACTGCTCAAAATAAGTGTATCAGACAATCAACACGAGAATAAAACAAGTGTAGCAAAGATGATGTGTAGTAAGACAAAACAAAACAAGATTAAAAATGATAATACTAGGGAGTGCTGGGGTAGTACTAATAGTAAAAAAGATGGTGGAAAATAAACTTGGGTGGTTTGGGCGTATAGAGAGAAAACCTATAGATCACATGAAGAGAAGTCAAACAACTAGAAGTCAATGTTATCAAATTGCGGCGCCATGGCCGATATACATGGCGGTTTTTGGGCTTGCCGCAATGGTAAATATCGTCCGCTATTGCGGGTTTTTCTGCTATAATCCACAATAACGGCGCCGCGAAGAGGCCGGTATGGCGGGATTTTGGCTATCCGTCATGGACCGCCATCCGCCATCGACAACATTGCTAGAGGTAGAGAAAGACTTAGAAAAACTATAAGAGAAATTATTAAAAAAGATCTTGAGATTAACGACTTGGATAGAAGCATGGTCATGGATAGAATATTATGGTGAATTGATCCATGTAGTCGATCTCACTTAATAGGATAAAGTTTGATTGTTTGTTGTATATTTTAGTGCAATTCGACAGAGATTTTAGTCTATTTGTGCTTCATTGGCAGTGGGGTCTGCTGTTGGGTGTCGGGTCTAGGGACAGGGCTGTAGCTTCTGTTTTTTGTGTGGCCTGCTTTGTTGCTGCCATCGAGCTTCTGTTTTGCTGTTTCGCTCGTGTTTTGTTTTTTCAGCCTAGCTTTTTGTTGTTTTTGTGTGCTTTTACTGTTGAAGCTTGGGTTATTTCCGCATTACCCTAGAGGCCCGCTGTAGGTAGATTTGGTAGATTTGGCGATCTGAGTATGTCTTGTGCTCCCGATTTAGAGTCTCATTTGTATTTAAGCCGAATCAAAAAAAAAAGTTAACCATTAGTATAGGATAGTTGCACATAAGCCATAAGGACAAGTATTATTTACTCAGGTTCTTTTGCAAGTCGAAAAGTAAAAAAGTGACCAAGAATGTTTATATTTTTATAGCTATTCTACATAATGTGTAACGAAACATTAGCTACAAGGAGTCAATTAGGTAAATATTTTAAACTAGTAGATTCCTTTTTTTTATATAACTAGAGTTACTTTGACAGAATGCGTGCATCTGTTTTGCTTCTGCTTCTTTAGGTAACTAACCTACATGTGTTTCACCTTAAATTTGTAAGGGCTATCCTTTTTATTTTGTAGTAATTTTATCCTCCAATTGTTGTTTTGTTATTCTCATTTGAATTCATCCTTACAATCATTTTACAAAAGCCTGAAATGTATATAATTTTTTTTACTTAAAACAATTTACTTTCATACATACTACAACCCATTAATCATTAATTAGGTACCAGTAACATATTGATATACTTTACAAATCTCCACTTCAAATTGAAACATCAACAGGAAACTCATGAACCTCATCACTCCAAGGATTAATCTCCTTAATTGGATCAACATTCCTTAATGCACGCCAAACAGCAGTGTTACACTTAAATCCAGAACCAAATGCAATTTGCCAAATCCTATCACCTTTTCTAATTCTTCCCTTTGCTTCACAATAAGCTAGCACATACCAAACAGAACTACTTGAAGTATTACCATATCTATAAAGTGTCATCCTAGAAGGCTCTATTTGCCAATCACTTAATCCAAGCACTTAATCCAAGCACTTTTTGCATCTCATCTTGAACAGCCTTTCCACCAGTATGAATACAAAAGTGCTCAAAACACAACTTAAAATCAGGTGTATAAACCTTCATATTCTTGTTAAAGTACTTTTTAACAACAAAAGATGTAGCAAACTTTAGTTGTTCTAATAAAGGTAAAACATATTTTCCAAGTTTTGTGATGTTTTCTTTAAGTGCAAAACCTGCTGAACTCATTAAGTCTTTTGAAAGTGATATTCCTGTGATTTTGTTTGTTTCATCTTCTCTTTGAAAGATTGAATTGTAGCAACTGTCTTGTGAACCAATGTGGGTATAAACAGTTTGTTTAAGATGATACTTTGAACGGTGAGAATCAGAGGAAATGTTTGAGAGTAAGATTGCTGCACCACCTACACGAAAGAGACAATTCGAAACAAGCATTGATCTGTTGTTTCCTAAGTACCATCCGCTGTTGATATTTTCTGTGCTCACTACTAAGGCATATGAATTTTGATGTACCTATGCATATGAAAATGAAATACAATAAAATAAAGGTTAGATAAGAAATTAAGTAAACAAGAGAAAGTAGAAAATTGTGTCCAATGTAGTCATAACAATGGATTTCAATTTAGTTGCAACATAAAAACATTGCATTATGTCAATTTTATTCAGTAAAATCACATGTATTAATTTAATGCAGCTAGCAATAAGGATGAAATATAAGTCTATTAGCCAAAACAAATGAATGATGATAAAATAGAAAACAAAAGTAATTAAAGAAAGATTATCTGACCTGTAGGAGTTGTTTGGCAAGGTCTATGGCTACGAGTCCAGCACTACAACCCATACCACTTAAATATAGCACAAAATTCGATCCTTAAGTTTGTATTGGTTAACAACCATAGCACTTAGAGAAGGTGAAGGATTGAAAATACAACAATTTGTTATAAGTAGGTCTATATCTTCAACCTTCATTCCTGTCTTCAGCAAAAGCTCATCAATAGCACCAAAAATCACTGATTCAGTCTCTTTCATTGCTTCCATAGTGCAAATTCTTGGTGGAATTACCATTAAGGATTCTGGCACATAAGTCTTGTCACCAAATCCAGACCTATCCATAATTTTCTTTTGAAAATCTATGCTCTCATCTTTAAAATGTCTTCCACATTTTGATATTTCTATAAACAAATCCTTACTACACATAGTTTTGGGGGAAGGTTTATAGCAAACAAAATCTACTAGATATATCTTTTTGGAGCATTTCTTTAGGTAAAAGGTTGCTATTGATACTATTAACAAACACCATTTTAAAGGTGAGAAAAATATTTGGATATTTAGAAAGGCTCTAACGATGGATAGGAAAAAATACTTGAATTGAGTTAAGAAAAGAATGACATTGAAAACATACTCATGATGTTGGATATGCCATGGTTCCTGTCTAAAAGTTTTCCTATTTATAGAGTTGTAAAAATGAACTAAAGCATACATTGAAAATAAAAATTATAGAATCTCTTTCATAATATGTCACATATGCAAAAACAAATATCTAGCTGGACTCCATATAATTTAGTTGGATTTGCAAGAATTTTGTTACGTAAAAGAAAGTATGAGAGTATTTGTATGAAAAAGTGTGTTATTATCATTTCTTAAAATATAAGCAACCTTGTATTTTGTTTTTCCTTCAGCAAGGTAAGTTGTTATTATTTATATGAGTTATAAATTTGATTTGAAGTACTCATTTTTTTTTATGTAGAGTATATATATCTTACAAAATTTAAAGTTTAGCATGTACAGTTTAAGTTGGTAGTTAATATGTTGAATTTGAGATATTTTTTTTATGTATAACTATTAATCAATTTTTTATTTCATTTTTGCACATAAACCTTTTATAAAATTTTCTAAATATATTTAAAAATTATTTAAATATTAAGCCTACTTAACAACTAGAATAAACACTTTGCAGGATAATTTTTTAGAGATGAAGAGTTGAAGGAAATTTTAACAAAAATTTAAAATGAAAAATTTAGATTATATTAAGACTAAAACATATTTAACTCTATTTTTAAACTTAGGTATTATAAGTGATCAATACTTCTCCTCTATCTTCAAAAAATAATAATTCGCCTTTCGCTCACTTGCAAAAGTACAATACCTGAATTGACATTGTTCTATCAATTTTATTAACAATATTTTTGTTATTTATTATAAGTGCATTCACCCATAAGATCAAAAGAACCCTCCAAAATCTTCATATAATCCACAATTCTATAATACGTTGATAGTACATTGTCTTGTTAGTTTTTATGTAATGTAAAACCTGTAGTTTTATAGTAATAAGTTTTAGTTGTTAGCCGTGTATTTAAGGAAGTTAAACTCAAGAATCTACGTAAGATCGACTAGATATCACAAGATTGTGAATTGTAGGATTGTAACACAAAATTGTAAGTTCCTACAAAATTTAGAAATTCATCTATATTGCATATAGATTCACAATAGACATATGCAACATAATGTAGGAAAAAACTTTAAATAAATACCAACATTACTTAAAAAAAATTGAGACAATTGTGTTGTGTAATATTGGAAAGTTACAAAATTATTAATTAATGGGTGGGTATTGATTATTAATTAATTCTTTTAATTAGGCAAATAAAATCAATTAACGTTTTCAATTTTCATGTGCCTAAAAAAGAGGAACGATTATGTCAAACTAATGTTTTAATTAAGTTTTTTTTTCCTGAATTGGGTAATAATTTCTAGAGTTTGACCTGCAAACCCGAAATTTTGGGTTGTTGAGAGAATAGTGCGTGAACGGTGATTCCACCATTTCTACGTGTTTTTGCGGCAATTTTGACCGTGCTTACCAAAAACAATTTTGACCATATTCCAACATGGAGAGGAGTTACAAGATCGCAAAATTGTCTGATCCTACGAGTTGGATCGTGATTCTGACTACCATACGTGTACTAATTGTTAGACGATGACACGGATCTAGAAGGGGTTGAATAAATCCCTTATAAAAAAATCAGTCGGTGCTACTAATAAAATTGGTTTTAAAAATTGTTTAAATTGCAAAAGCGGTCGTGGAAAAATTACCGTCTATAATGAACTGTTACTAGAGGACCAGATATGCGTTTAATCTATGGATATTAATAATGAGCAAAGAGAATCACCACGCTAGTCACACTATCAATTGATTTATATCACTACTTGGTATGACTAGTTCCAATGCCTTAATATGCTAACAAAATAATTGGACAACACAAGAGAATTTTGGTTCAGACAATTTATCAAACACTTGGCGTGCAGAGCACTCAAAGTGATTCTGACTTTGAGTAAGTTGCATTAGTTTCCTTGTATAATAAACTATTTTAATATAGTCAAAATTACTTCAGTGCTTGCTTAAAATAGTTTTTAATTCGATATTATTGTTTGAACGAAATTCACGCAAATATTAAGCAAAATGAAAATACAGAAAGTAAAAGGCACAAAGATTTGTTGAGGCAGTTCCTCGTCGTCCTCGCTTTGGGGTACGTCTGCCCTCAATTTTAACAATGGAATTGAGCTCGTATAATATAAATGTAACTTGTTGTTGAATCGTTTATACAAGAGTGAAATATCAAATGAATAAACAAACTCTCCTGTTGTTGAATATGCTTTCACTTCTTGTCCCTTGATTCAAGTTGAATCAAGTCCTTCGATTACTTGTGGATGAACCTCCGTTTACATCTCCTTGGTTGAACAACCTTGCGTTTTCAAACCCTAGCCCGACTGATATCAAAGACTTGCTAATCGAACTCGAACCTCTCCTTCACAATTCACTGATTACCGCTACTAGATTGACAGAACCCGCCGCTCCTCGATCACCTTCGTTCAGCTGAATATGTGTTGAGAAGATTCGTACCAAAACCCCCCAAATTTGGCGAATCTTTGAGGAGAAAACCTTCAAGGTTTTATTCAAGAAAAACCTGTCAAAATCTCAACCCGAACCAGATTCCCAATCAACGGCTTTGGACGTTATCATTTCAAACAAACAATAATGCACAACAAAGATTATTGTGTGTGATTGTTGTGATATGAAATGTAGAAGATGAAGATGATGAGAACTAATGACACCTCTTTCACTTTTCTTGTTTTGCAATTGATTCAATTGTTGTTGATGAAAATGAGCAACTTTCTATTTATAGTATGCCAAAAATTAACCGACAAAACTACTTTTTGAAATAAGTGGAAAGACCAGAATTATGCAAAAAAAATAAAAAATAACAAACAGTTGACCATACAAAAAGAGTGGTCGACCGGAACTCCCCAGATAGAATAGAGTATGCAAAGTAACAGGCTATGCGTCGACCAAAGCAGGACCATGCATCGACGCAAAGCCTGTATTTTTAGACAAACAAAAATAGCAATCAGTATGCGTCGATCGGATGTCGACGTGCGCCAACCTGTGGAAAATACACTTTGTAGACACCTTTTATGAGTCGGCCGAAGCAAAATGAATGGTCGACTCAAAAACCTGCATTTTGCAAAAATGTTTATTTTTATGTTTTTGACACTTCTAGATACAACACATAATTCACCAATGATGTTTGACTCGAATGACACTAATTTGATGACACGACATGCAAGCAAATGAGACGAAAGAGATAAGGTATGCTTATGCCTTGTGGTGATAATGCCAAGACCGATTCTTCCATGTGGTTGCGTTTTGACATCATCGAAACACGTGTATAGTATATAAGGCTTTTTTTCTCACATACTCCCCCTTTTTGATGATGGTAAAACATGTGAAACTGACTTGTGTGATGTGCGGTATTAACCTCCCCCTTGCTTGATGCCTTTATTTGCGACGTCTTCCATTTGCTGTAACTCTCATAGTTTTTACTATTATTTTGGCACACTCCTATCCCCCTTTGACAACATCAAAAAGAAAAAGATTGATTAAAAAATAAAGGATCAAATCAAAAAGAATGTACAACAGGTAACAATCAACTTGAACAATTATCCACACATGATAACGTCAATGATTAAGAGACGAATAGATAAACAAACCATATATTAATAAAACACAGAACACTTAGTGCTCAGGAAGTCATAAAACATTCAAAAATGCAAAGCATTGTCACAATTAGAAATTATTTAATACAAATGCAAAATAATAAGACAACATAAAAAAAGGATGAAATGCAAGGATGCTTCAATGCAGAGGCTTCAATATCCCTTCCCTCTGAAGTGTTGGCATCTTCCACGATACAGATCTGCCATGTCGGTAAATTCCAAAACAAATTCCAAAACAACACTATTCAAGGTATTGAGACTGTGTGAAATGGCCTGCTCCTCGATCCAACTAGTGCATCTAACCGTTCATTAATATTCAAGGAGAAGGTGTTGAATCTTTCAGCGTGTGTCTCGAATTGACTCTGAGTTTGGGCGAATTGCTCGTTCTGAGCATTCATGAAGGTACATTGCTCTACATGCATGACCCTCATCATATCTAGAAGCTCTGAAGACTGTGGCTGCAGGGAATTCGCGGGCTCTTCATAGCCCTACTGTGAAGGCTGATAGTATTCACGCATTGTTGTCCATCCGATGTGTTGCCACTGACCTCAACCTTGCTCATTACCATCTTCTGCGGATGGTGTATGTTGAACCCAATCCTCATTTATTTGATCGTCAGCTTTCATTGGTTGTCAATTATCTTGCTCCTCTGGTTCTTCTTCTTCTTCATCCTTTTCACTTTCCTCCTCACTCTCATCGGAGTCTTCTACCCGGGAAGTTGTGGCTTTAACAACAAATTTGTACCGCTGTTCATCATGAAGTCAGATATAACCCATTATAAGTTTCCTT